TGGAGGAGCAAGATGATGATGACTCGTTAAAAGACTCTTTGAACAGACTTGAAGTGAGCTCTGGCCTGCCTTCATGCTACAATATATTAGACTACGCTCTAGATCGTCAAATACCGCGAGATCCCTATTTTGTTCCCCCAAACGATAGACCTTTTTTGCGAGGTTGTGATGCTTTACTAACAGATGATTGTGAAGTCATAGAGTCTACAACGACTTTGAAAGAAGCATTTGAAATGATTAATTACAATGAGGAACTTGAAGAGTTACGGTTAATGAGATTTGGGATTTATTTGGAAGGAGACACTTCTCCTTTGGTGCCCAAAAACTTGTTCACTACTGCATATCCTTATTTGACAGACTTGAAGATTACTGTCAAATCGTACCTTGAATTGCCTGATTTGTCAAAGTTGCCTAATTTAGAAAGTCTTACATTGGCTATGCATTGTATGTACACCACGGAAACTGATAACCCCGATATGGTCTTAGACTTATCCCAATCTGGGCTAGAAAAAAGTTCAATCTTGTCAATTGATTTGACAATCATATATCCTTTGAATATAGCCAAAGTTATTTTCCCTGAATCTTTGAATATTCTGAAATTAGCATTGATTTACGAACCTGAAGTTTTATATGCTGGATTCTTAATCAAATCCAATTTTTCACATTTGAAGAAAAGAGTGAATAGAGATTTGAAGTTATATTACAAAAGGTTGACCCTCTTCACTGTTGACGATTGGATTGATAGAAGATCGAAAGACGCAGATGAACTTTATTTGGAAAGAAAATTATATCGATAATTAATAACTAATAATCCTTATTTATTTACTTCATCACTAAATATTGGTTGCTAGATTAAATATAAATCATAACTGCTTCTCACAGTTATAAATCACCAGGAACAGGATACTGGGAGACAAAATTCTTGACTTCTTCAGCTAATTTTTTAACTTCTTCATCTTCAGCAGCTAATTTCTTGAAGTTAGCTAACTTTTCAGCAGCTGTCTTACCTTCTTCTCTAGATTTGATCTTGATGGTTAATTCAACAGCTAAATCAATGAACTCAGCAACTTTTTCGAATTCTTCACCCATGAAACCTCTGGTTGTCATAGCTGGGGTACCAACTCTTAAACCAGATGGGAATAAAGCAGACACATCACCAGGAACAGTGTTTTTGTTGGCTGCGATGTTAGCTCTTTCTAAAACGGCTTCAGCTCTAGCACCATCGATTTTCTTTGACTTCAAGTTAATCAAAATTAAATGAGTATCAGTACCATCAGAAACCAATTCGAAACCTCTCTTTTTCAAAGCATCTGCAAATAATGAAGCATTTTCAACAACATCTTTTTGATATTTTTTATATTCTGGTGTTGTTGTTTGTTTTAATGCAACTGATAAAGCAGAGATAGTATGGTTATGTGGACCACCTTGATGAGCAGGGAAAACAGAAAAGTTAATTTTTTTTTCTAATTCATATGGAATTTCTTTACCTTTCTTGGTAACTTTTCTAATACCTTTTCTGAAGAAGATCATGGCACCTCTTGGACCTCTTAAAGATTTATGTGTAGTTGTAGTGACGATATCAGAATATGGGAATGGAGATTCAGTAACTTCAGCAGCAACTAAACCTGAAATGTGAGCCATATCGGACATTAAATAAGCTCCAACTTTATCAGCAATAGCTCTCATTCTTGGGTAATCGATGGTTCTAGCATAAGCTGAAGCACCAGCAACGATAACCTTAGGTCTGAATAAGACAGCGGTCTTTTCAAGAGTATCATAATCAATCAAACCAGTTTCTTCATTTAATCTATATGGCATAGTTTGGAAATATTTTGAAATGTATGAAATTTTAGTTGATGGGGTTTGATAACCATGAGATAAATGACCACCATGAGGTAAATCTAAACCCATCATTCTATCACCAACTTCCATAATTGCAGAATAAGCATATAAATTAGCTGGAGCACCAGATAATGGTTGAACGTTAACACCCCATTGAGCTGGATCTAATCTGAAAGCTTCTAAAGCTCTCTTTTGACATAAAGATTCAGCCATGTCGATGAATTCATTACCACCGTAATAACGTTCACCCGGGTATCCTTCAGAATATTTATTTTGCATTTCAGAACCTAATAGATCCATAACTGCTTTTGAAGTGAAATTTTCAGATGGAATCAAAGTAATTGAATTCTTTTGTCTTGCCTTTTCAAGTTGTAAGATTTCGTACATCTCTGGATCGATATCTTTAACAGGCTTTGACATCAAACCTTGAGCTTGAGATGAGATGGCATATGAACGCTAGTTACTACATGTTAGTATATCACAGATCTAATAATTAATTTGTAGTGAAAAATGATAAACTTACCTTGAATTGATTCAAGACTCTAGTAGAGTTTGAAGTGGCACGTAGGGCTCTGTTGAACATTATGGTCTTAAGGAATTGAAAGTGAGTAATTGAAGAAAGAGTCCAAGTGATGTTTTATTCCGAAAGTAATAAGAAATTGACAGCAATTACTACAAATAAGTATGATGAGATGAGATGAGATGAAAACGGAGAAGTCGATAATCCAAAGCTGAAAGAGTCAGATTTGAAAAGTTTTTTTTAAAGGCGGTGTCATAATGAGGGTGTACGGATGTTCTATTTTTTGAATCATTTTGCACAGTGCGGGCGGGCACAACGGGATGATTCACGATTCACGTTGCAGTTCATAGCCTGCTGGCTGATAAGGCTGCTTGTGGTTTCCATTGTTGGTTTTTAGTTGGTTGTAATTCACTAGAAGTACCAGAGATGAGAAGCAATCTGAACACTACCCAACATAAGATACAAGGTCCACTTCTTCCCCGTGTTTTTTCTCAATCTGCTTCACCAGCTAACAAATTTAACTCGAGGTCCTCATCTTCTCTAAACAGCAGTGACGGGTATAGTAGTGGGTCTAACAACAACTATTTGAATCGATACAATGGCTATAACTCTGAAGATGAATTTGACTCGTTTGTTGAAAGAGATCGTCGACGTAGGCTGTTACAACAGAACCAAACTTTGAATAATTCCAACGTGGTGAATTTTACTACTTCAATCTTACCCGTTACAACTACGCCAGTCACAACGAATATAAGTACAGTGAACGATTCCGATCCGATGTCTGCCATAAATAACAGAATCAATGAACGTGTGAATAAGTTGTTTCACCCACTTCGACAGCAACATCAACAACAGCAGCAAAATCATTCTGATTTATCCAATAAGCACAGCCATTCGTATCAATCCAGGCAAGCTCATGTACAACAACTTCGAAGCAACAAGAGAAATCAACTACAGAGCCATCATAGAGGGAACATGGAGGAATATTTCCTAAGGCAAGGTGAAGATAATAGAAATAAGAGACTTGAATTTGAATCTCAATTACAAACTCCATCAGCTGACGGTACTAGTATTGATGAGTTCAATCGTTTTTTACAAGATAATGAAGAAGAATACGATGCTGATTATGATAGTGAAACTTACTTTGATGTTCCTGATCATAGAAAAGAATATACTATAAATGTACCTGGTTATCGTGATGATTTTAATGGTGATTTGACAATTGATGAAAGCGATAATGAAATGGACAATCAAGAGCATGAGTTGATAATACAGAGACAATTGGAGGAGATGTTGATGTTGGAACAGATGGAAATTGAGGAGTTAACTAAGAACCTGAATCTAAACGGGTAGTTCTTTTATTTATTTATATTTTTTGTTAAAATTTTTATGAGTCATGTTTTTTACTACTATATAGTAATTACTTTTTCGTTATGAATTTGTTAATGTAGCTAATGATCAACTTGTATTCAAACCTGATGTATATTCAAAGGCTCAAGAAAGATCAAGATCTCTACAGCACAGTCAACAACATTACTCGTGGAATTATATACTGGAGTAACATTCACCGAGTGTGAATAACACTGAAGTCCATTACCATTAAAAACCATCCAACAAAAGGTACCACCTCCAATACTCATCATCATTTATATTTGGTAGCAATTGAACAGATATTTAACAAGATTCATAAGATGAAGAACCAATGGCATCCCTTTATCTCTGTTGCTTTATCATGACCCGACAGGCTTTGACGTAACCAAACAATAGCATACAGGTGAGCTTTTGAAAGCCTATAAGATAAAACCAATCATGGAGAAGGATTTGAACAAAAGTAACATTTACAAGAGTTTCCAGACTATGCGAAGATACCCACTAGATCAAACAAAAAAAGTTGAAGATAATAATAATGAATATATTCTCGATGGGGTCAAAGAAATCGTCGTCGATCAAATAAAACAATCATCCTGATAATAGCTATTTCGTTCTTTGATAATAATGTATACTACATGGGGTTGAAGCTGTGAAGTTGAACTAAACATATGGAAGCAAAACTTCATTGTTATAGTAAGTAGATATGACCTTTTTTGTCTGTAGTACAATCAAAACTCTATAATAACATCACAACAACCATAATGTACGTATTTTTGTTGGAACTTCACAGAAATATTCACAGTGTAAAAGAATATCTCAGTATCAGCACAGAATTACCCCTCCCCCCTTCCTACCCCATTATGTGCCGATATTTATTGGACTTTTTGTTTCTTTAAGTTCAAACAACAACCCTTAGAAAGAGCAGTTAACAAATATGATAAGTACTATAATTATCAAGGTAAATAATATTCAATTTTAAATCTTTCTAAACGAAAACCGAAAATACCCAAATCGTAGAATTACGAGGAAAAAAAAAATAACATTTTAGTTTTCAAAATTAAAAAATTTTCTTATTTACACATGATATTTGATATATTTCTGTACCACATATAGATCGAGATTTAGTGAATTTTAATACTGCATAAGAATCAAGTCTTCAAACCACAGGATAAACCCAAAAATCATCAAAAATAATACCCCAAGATTATGAAGTATTTTTTCTAACAAATTTTTTATAAAGTCATGTTTTACAAATTTTTCAACAATTGGAGGGTTGGCCGAGTGGTCTAAGGCGGTAGACTTAAGATCTACTGGTGTTATCACCGCGCGAGTTCGAACCTCGCATCCTTCATTTCTTTTTTGAATTTTATTTATTAAATAAATTTTATTTTTTGAGATATTCGTTAACAATATCTATATGCAACTTTCGTTCAATTGTGAATGTAGAGTTCTATCATTTTTAAATTCAAGTATGAGTTTCTTGAATTGATGATGCCTTATCTCACCTTTTTTTGAATCTTACCTTGCCGAAGTGTTGGCTAAAGGGATGGGAGTAAGGATGAAAGGGTGAGTGGGAGAACATACTAGTAGTGAGGAAGTTTCCCATATGCGTTCTACGAGACTCATCAAGTTACAGAAATTTGTTGTGGTTGTTAAACCAATTACAGAGCTAAGTAACTACGTTGAATTGAATGGATAAACTACATATATAGATATGGATGTGATATAATGAATGTATCCACAAAGCGAATTGTAATTGAGTAAACAACAAAACTTTTTTAAAAAAAGAAATGCAGTTGAGTTCAATGACAGATTATTGAAGTGGATTCTTTAGATCTCCTTTCGGCCATTTGTGCAATACATAGATGGATGCGTGACTAGTAATCGCTGGTATTCCGAAAGTGTAATATGTATGAAGAAAGGAGAAGAAGATTAGAATAAAAGTGAATTGAAAGGGTGAAGAAACAGCAGAAATGATATTTAAATAGTGAAAATTTTTTTGCAGGGACTTTTGTCTCGTTTTTGCGGGGGACAGAACTTGAAGGGGTACACTAGTTTGATTAGATTACAGTACTTTAGTAGTAGGTGGAACGTAAGTTAGATAAAATTAGATTATATTAGGTTAGGTTAGACTATCTATTGAATATGAGTACGATAACGTTTGTGACAGGAAATGCTAACAAGTTGAAAGAGGTGGTTGCCATTTTATCTCAAGGTGGTTCAAACAATGAAGGTAGTGGTGGTGACTCTAAAGTTGGGAAATTCACAATCACTAATCAAAATATTGATTTAGATGAATTGCAAGGTACACTTGAAGAAGTGACAATTCACAAGACAAAACAAGCTTGTAAATTTGTTCAAGGTGCTGTTTTAGTTGAAGATACATCTTTAGGATTCGATGCAATGCAAGGATTACCAGGTCCATATATTAAATGGTTTGTTAAATCTGTTGGTTTGAAAGGTTTAAATCAAATGTTGGATGGATTTCAAGATAGATCTGCCAAAGCAGTGACTACTTTTGGATACTGTGAAGGTCCAGGTTGTGAAGTTTTGTTATTTCAAGGTATTACTGAAGGTACAATTGTTGAAAGTAGGGGTCCAACTAATTTTGGTTGGGATTCAATTTTTGAACCTAAAGGGACTGGATTGACATATGCTGAAATGAGAGGTGAAGAAAAGAATAAGATTAGTCATAGATCTAAAGCATTGGCTAAATTAAAGGAGTTTTTGTTGAGTCAATAAATTACTGTTCGTAATAGAAATGAACTTTTTAATTTGAATACAAATAATAATATAAACCACATAAATAGAAACCCAGGTAAGTCAATTACCTATTGAAGAAAGAAGAAGAAGAAGAAAAAGATAAAAAAAAACATAAACCTATAATGCGCTGAGTGAAAAGTTCATAAATGCCATCCAAAACCAAGATAATCTAATAATGCACAAAAGTCATCCATAAATCATTGCAAGTATTGACGAGCAAACTTTGCACCAAACCACATAATCAACAACATAATAAAGATAACCAAAGCGTTGAAACCTTTTGTAACTAGTTGATAACTTAATTTACCTTTAATTCTTTCTAAATTATGAGTTTCAATTTCTTTAACACATTCAGAATTAGTACTAAATATAAATTGAGATTCTTTAATAACATCCAATTTTTCTTGTTCAGTTAAGAAATTTCTAGTTTGTAATTCATAATCTCTTTTATATATGATTCTTAAAGTTTCCATATCTTCAACTTCAAATTTAAAGAAATTCGTACCCATTAATTGAATATCATCAAAACTTTTACCTTCAATTTGTGGGAATAATCTTAAAGATTTAGCAACTTTAGAACTCATAATTCTACCACCAGCAAATAAAGCTAAATACATAACATGCATATAAGCTAATAATAAATATGGTTTATCTTGAGTAACTTTTAAAATATGTTGAGTAAATTCAATTTGTTTTGGTAAAACAGGTGATGAAAATTTTTCAGGTCTATCACCATAAAAAAACATTAAATCTTGATATAAATTAGCAGTTCTTAACATTGCAGGTTTATAAATTGATTTTAACATTTCTGAATAACGTGTATTTCTTTCCATTTCTCTATTTAAACAAATTTCAATAGTATTGAAAATATGATAAAACATTTGAATACCTTGTCTATAAACTTTTGGATCTCTAACAGCAATAGCAAATTTAAGAGTCATAAGTTTATCAATCTTATCATGTAAACTTCTTGTTTCCAAATTGATTCTATTACCTAAAGCACCAAGATCATTTTTAGCAGGGATAATTTCTGATTGTGGGAATTTGATACTCATAGTACGTGTATTTTGCAATGATTAGTAGTTAACGATAGTGTCTGTAGATAAAACAAAGTTGAATATGAATTCATATTAGCATAGAAAGAAGAAGAAGAGTAAAAATAAAGGCGTTAGTTGAATACGTGTAGTGGGGGAGATGAGGAAGAGGAAGACATGTTACAAAAACAGGCAGATTCTCTTCAAATCTGCCTCCAAATTCTGTTTCCGAAACGCGTCGATCGTCCAACTCCGAAGAGACCGAATTGAAAATAAAATCGACGCGTCTATAATCAAATACAGATGACATAAGCAATTACATAATTAAACTCTTTTATATTAAAATTGTCGTGTACAAAACACAAAAAACAAACAAAATTTTTCAGATTTCAATCGTTGAAATGTTGATGTTAATTAGTGTATTTACTGAGTGTAGTAAGTGGTGAGTGAGTGGTTAGTGGGTTCATCAAGAGGGCACTTTGATACTGACTGATATATCACTGGATTCATCCTCGATCTAAAGCATTGAAATTTGGGCTTCTTTTACTTATCTCTACTCTCAATCATTAATCAACCTGCGTCATCACATTCCCATCTATATATCTATTCACACATACATACATACATACATAAATACATACAACATGCTTAGATCTCAACTCTATAAACAAGCAAAGAGATCGTTTGCTACAACGGCAACTACCACTTCAGATGCTCAAATTCCTTTAAGTTCAATACATGCTGGTTTAATCCTTTCAAGAACCCCACTTGTGTCTCCTGAATTATCCGAATTTGAACAAAAATTTTATCATTATCAAGAAGAATTAGAGAGAAGACTTATGTGGACATTCCCAAGATGGTATTATTTCAAAAAAGGTACTGTTGCAGAAAGAGAATTTGCCAAGATTCAAAAATATCCAATTCCAAAACATAGAGGTGTTTGGTTCCCAAAGGGTGTCCCTGATATCAAACATGGTAGAGATAGAAGATTTAAAGAAGAAATTGTCTTACCTAAAAGACTTATAGAATCTGATGAAATAGAAACAACTCAAGATTCAACAAATTCTACTGAATTGGAATCAGAATCTAAATCTGAAGATTTAGATGATGTTAGTAGACCAATTAAACCACAACCAAGATTTACAAAAGCTGATGAATTGAACGATCAAACTTCATTAGAAAGAAAATTATCAAGAACTTTATATTTATTAGTGAAACAAAATAATACTTGGAAATTCCCAGCTTTCCAATTACAAGATGAATCTAAACCACTTCACCAGGTTGTGCAAGATGGTGTTAAATTAATTGGTGGAAATCGTATAAATACATGGGTTGTCTCAAATACTCCAACTGCTGTTTTGAAATATTCACAAAATAAATTGATTGATAATGCTAATGAATCTGATACAAACATTACAAGAGAATATTTAATGAAATCTCATATAGTTGCCGGTAAGTTTGAATTGAATCAATCTGAAGGTTGTCAAGAATATAAATGGTTAGTTAAAGAAGAGATTGAAGAATTGGTTGATGATGATTATTATAAGAAGATTGGCTGTTTGTTAGCAAACAATTGAGGATGCAAAAATAGTTTTTGTTTTTCATCTTTTATTTAATATATATTTTTCAAAAAGGAGTTTACTTATGAATTTTTCACTTTTGTAGTTTCTTTGAACTTTTTTCTCTCGTGTATATAGCAGCAATCATAATAAAAGCAAAACGAAATGAATTGAGAAGAATATACAAAGTAATTCAAAGTAAAAATGAACCGTACATCATACGAATATGGTTTCAAAATGTGTAATCTTGTTAGTTGCAAACCGGTAAGAGAAACAAACTGATAAAATCTGGCTTTCGCTCGGCTTATTTTCGAGGCAGGCAACTCATCTCGGCTTCTTTGCTTAACAACGCTTACACACGAGTTCCTCTTTTCGTTTCACACCTTCTCAACTCATAAATTGCCCATTGAGCAATCGGAATAACAGGACATATATCTAACCATTCAATTGACTCGATCGAAACACACACACGATCCTCGCTATAATCTCATTCGAAGAATAATACAACAAAAATCAATATAGTATTAGTTCCCTCTTATACAACAACACCATATCAAATCGATAACACTTCAAAACAACCCGATATATGTCATCCGAAACAGCAAATAAGGGACTGGATAATGGTGTATCTTCAAATAATTCATCTTCAAAATTAATGGGCGGGAATGTTACAGTTGCGGAGAAATTAGTCAAGTTAATCGCAGTTAGGTTAAAAGAAGCATCTAATGATTCTCCCTCTTTCAGAGCATCGATTGATTATATGGATACATCACTTTCAGAATCAGAAGCAGTGTTAAGGCAAACACTTCAATTTTTCAAAAAATATCAAGCACTTCGTATATCCTTTGAAAATCTAGGTGATGAATTTGCCGGAACGTTTCAATTGTTATTAAGTTCCGGTTATGGTATAAATAATAGAGATATATCACATCCTTGTTTACAAAGTACACTATTAGGAGTTCAAGCTATATATAAATGCTTAGCTGATTTTATGA